CTGATGTTACATTATACATTAACATTTTTAAGTGCCTTCTACATGAAAATTTTAGATAATTCCATTTTTTTAACTGTGGTTAGTGTAACTTTTGCATATACAGACAAAACTGGTAACCACGGGAAGATGCAGTTCTCAAAACTTGCTTCTTTTGGTAGACTTTGGGACTTGTTGGCTGCCCAGCACTTACTGACCAGATAGGTTTCCTGCTTTAAAGAAGCTGGCTGGTGGTTATATCAGTCTCGACACCTAAGTATTGCAAGGCTCGAGTCCCGCTGAATTCTCTTTAAAATGCAAAAGGCATTGAAAGACTGAAAGGCTGCAGTTCTTTTGTGCTCCTAGCATGGAAGCAAGGGAAGGCTGTTAGCTGGGCTAGCTCTGCCACCTGCAGCTCAGAGCCGGCAGGACCACAGCATCTTCACCGACACCGTAATAAACCTTCGCTACTGGAAATGTAAAAATTCTCCTGGAGACAAGAGGTTTCACTGAAGAGTGTACCTGCTAATTAAATTAGCAGTAGAATACATACGCTTATAGTATGCAAAAGTAAGGTAAAAAGAGAGCTTTCACATTGGTCTTTCTGCTAATCTTCACTGCTATCAGAATGCATATGTGTTCTCAGAATAGAATAGAAACCCGGTGTTAGAACAAAAATCATAAGGCTAAAACCATTCTTGGTGTGACTGGAGTGATCTCAGAGCTGAATCTGACCCCTTACCTATAAAGGCTGATTTTGGCTCTGCTGATAACTGAAGTATTACAGGAAATTACGTGTGGATCCATATTCTCAGAACCCTCTAACTCCTGTCTGCAGTGCCTCCAGTATCTCCTCATATAACTCCCTTCTTAAAACACGCTGTTTTCTGAAACCTATAAATGCTAGTCTTCTCTAAAAAAGAGTCATTAAAAAAAAAATAAATCAAATCCTTCCAGATGTGTTTTACTAACACAAAAAATCATGTGCTTTATTATGTTCCCTACTTTCACTTCCCTGAGCCCCAAGAGTATAACATTAACATTTTCTCAAGTTGGATCCAAGCCCTGTAATTGATGAATTGTCCATAGGATCCATATGGAACTCCAGCAAAATCATTGAGACTCTATACAGCACCAAAATGTGTGCATGTGTCCCAGTGTGTACTGGGCACCCACAAATACAAACTTTTCTTGCCAGTGGTTTCTCTCGTTGTAAAGCGCTGTGTTCGTCTCTAGCAATTGATCCAACTCACACACAGCTACGACACAGTGAAACAGCAATGGTTCTGCAGTAATGGTCAGACATCATTGTGATAAGTTCAAATAAGAAAACATGACTGGAAACTAATTCTAATAATACTGGGTTACTAAGCATCACGTGGAGTTCTTTCAGTAGGTTTTAGTACTGCAGAGGGAAAGTATATAATCTATTGCGATACATGTTCTTCCAAATATGTCTTAAAAGCTAAAAGAAGCATAATTTTTCTTTTAACTTTGGGCTTCTTTCAATTGTCCACACACTTAAGACACCTTCTCGAGCCTGAAACATCCACATGGAGCTTTGTGTTCTTCTGGGACAGCAAGAGAGATCAGATGGATCAGACCCAGCATAACCTAGGGCATTTCAGCTGGCTCTAGACACCTATGTGCAGACAAATGAGTCCCATCTTTTGTGTTGCCTAAATGTGGAGCTTGGAAATGTCTAACTGTGTCTTGTCAAGCATTGCCATTAAAGGTTCTGGGCCCCTAGAAATATAGAAGTTATTTCTGTGATGATACATCATCACTGCACTAAAGTCTTTAAGTCTTTAAGGTATTTTCCTGGGTGACTGATTCTGAGCTGTGCAGAAAATGCTTGGAGGAGAGATTGGTTTTGTTGGTGTTCCAAATATTATTATTACAGTACTACAGTAAAGACTTGTACCTTATTTAATATGATCCAATGCTTGAAAAAATGTTAAAATAGATGTTTTGAAAAGGAATCTCACAGAGTGAGATTAGGTGATCTGTGGGGAATAGGCAGTCTAAGCCTCAGGCTTCTTGTATATGCCAGTGAATGTAGGAGTATGTAAAACATTTCGTTAGCTTTGTTTTAAGAAGTCACTTTGTAAAATGATGCAGTCAAACCAACCTGCCAGTTACCCTGCTCACTAGCTGTTAAAGATGGCAGGTGGTTTTGGCCAACCTAGCTCTTAAATGCATGTTGTCCCCACATTTTTAATCTAGCTCTTTGCAAAAACCAAGCTACTGATTGTCAGTGGCAGGTTCCTCAGACTGCAGGTAATTGGACCACAATTTTTTCCTCTTTCAGGGATTTGGTTTTGAGATACTTTAGATTTCAAGTAGGTCTCAAAGGTCACTGAGAAAGACTGTGATATTTAATATCAATCATCGTTAATCCAGTTCGTTTTACATTTGTGCCCAATTCACATAAGCTAGATGCATTTAAAATGGCCTTGTCACTACAGAGTGCAATGCTCTCCTATTACTCAGGCATCCAAAGCTGACCTTACAATTTGCAGACATTAGAGGGAGAAAACGATTGAGAATTCCCCAGTCCCAGAACCAGAAGAATTCACACAAGTCCATGTGGCTCCCAAATATCCTGGAGATGATACTGTTCCATGTCCCAGTGTAAGGGCCCCGGCGCTTGTCATTTTGAGTCCCTGCATGGGAGAACAGTCAGGCATTGCTACGTTTTGGGTCTGTATCGGATTTTAATCTTGTGTGTGAAGTGAAAGAGATTATAGACAGGATTAGCAGTCAAGATATCTACAGGCAGCAGGGACTGCATAGTTCTCCTCAGTGCGCATTACGTTTAGTGCACAATAAGAAACATCTTTGGCAGATGATAAAGAAGAACCATTCTCTTTGTTGCCAACAATAAATATATACGGAGGAGTAAATGTGTCATGAATAAAGTGTCCCTAAGGAAATCTTGGAAGACCCTACATGTATATTTACATACTTTTAGTCCCAGCAGCAGTAGAGCTATGTGAGTGTAGTGCTCTGCCCAGGCTAACTAGTTTGTTAAGAATTATCACAGGTATCTTTTTCATGCTAGTTACTATCTGGTCATAATGAGACAATTTAGGCAGCCCTGCCAGAAACCCAGGCTTTTGAGAACCAAAGCAATGGTGTCAATTATGATCATGAATCTCTCTCACACAAAACCTGAGCAAGTGCCTGCAGGTTTCAGAATAAATTGAATAAGAACTCAAAATACAACACCTCTTTCACAGCATAAACTGGATCCTGCACATACTTTAGGACATGATGCTCTTCATTTTTGGTAGAATATTGAACCAGAGGAAAATCTGAGCCCAAAGTGCACAATCTGATAGCAACTTTCTGTCTGTTAGATTACCTTGCAGATATTTATCTACAAAAATATATGTAAAAAGTCTATGTAAGAAAAAGATCAATGAGGCAACTGCAGATTCAATTTCTGCAGTTGGGAAAAAAATAATACCTCATACTGAAGCTCTTCATTCTCCCTGCTGCTTTATGTTATCTCTGTTTTAACTGCTGTTAATGAAAGGCTCATCAAAAGGCAGTGCCGATACACAGTAATATTTAAATGCTGAATTAATCTCTTAGTCCTCATGGCACCTCCCTTTCAGCTAGTTCCCCTGCATACTTGGCATCTCCATTTATATGAATGAGACTGGGGTGCACACGGGGAGAATGGAGCAAACATTGATCAGCTGTGCCGCCCAGAGAGAAGCATTTGCCTCATGTCTTATATATTTGTTAAAGCACGGAAGGAAAACATTGCCTGCTGAAGTAAATCCAAGCAAGACCTGCTAAAATTAAGTAAATAACTCAAAACAAGACCTGGCTTAAGTTATGCCTTTCTGCAGTTGCCATTCTAACTTCTAATAATTTGACCAACTTGTTGCCTTACTTCTGTTGGTAAAAAAAGACAAATCTTCCCCTGCTTCTAAATGCAGTTCTGCTTTGAAAAGTGACTAAATATCGCGTACAGGCTCCACGTTTATTCTGTGTCAGCTATTTCCTTATCAAATGTGCTCAGTTAGCAAGTAAGGAACCTTTTCCTCCTATGCATCAGCCCTGCAAATTTCAGGTGGAACGTAGGGGTCAACCTGGATTTTTTCTTCTCATGTAGGATGACCAAAAAAACAAGGATCCTGCAAGAGAGAGTAAGCCCTCAATCACACGTGTGCGATTCTGTAGTCTTCTGTGGCTTTGCGTAAGGTTTAACTGACTGGAAATGATTCTGTGGTGATAAACAGGAGGGAATAGAAACCAGCTTACTGTGTTCTTTATGCTAGATCTGCTGTGCTAACAGGAGCAAAAAGCGGTGAACAGTGATTTTCATTACTAAGTGAACATACAGAAAATATGTAAGACTCTATTTAAAGAAGAGGTTTGCTTGAAATGCCATGTTTTCAGAAATCTCCAACTTCGACATAATAGAGCATTCAAGCTGACGAGGAAAATAAAATAATTCTTTTTCTTGGACACATCATTCATGTGATAGGAAGAGAATGTATAGTCCTCATAACAAGAAAGGAGCAAAAGTATTTGAATTATTTTGCAAGCAATAGCAAGATAATATATCATGTTTACAACCTTCATTTATGAGAAGTCTTCATTGTGGAGTGCAGCAGGTCAGAAGATCACTGTGTGTACATTTTGCTATACGGGAATGATAATCCACTATGGGCATTATTTATTAATTCATCTTTGCAGCTTTGGCAATCAAGCATGAAAATTTTCTACTCTTCTGAAATCTCTGTAGTCTTGTAGAGACTCTGTAGAGTTGAAGTTTATCTGATTTTTTTAAAAATACTTCAGATAGATGGCAAATACCGAGCAAAAGTTTTCTCAATTCAGAGTTTTGATCCTGCAATCCCAGTGCAGATTAAACTGAGCTGTACAAGGCATACTCTGTTAGCAAAGGTAAAAAAAAATCCAGGAATATACTTTCCAGCTATGTAAATACTGATCAGCTGAGTCTTTGCTTGGATGAAATCATTCTATTCTCACTTTTCTTCCAGTTGTGTGTAATACTGGAGCCAATGCAGGAACTGATGTCAAGACATAAAACTTACAGTCTAAGTCCCCGAGACTGCTTGAAGACTTGCTTGTTTCAAAAATGGCAGAGAATGGTGGCCCCACCAGGTATGTTTCATTTTCAGTATTTTACTTATTTTATGGTTAAATTAATATAGAAACAATGGGAAAATTTACTGCAAATTTACTTACAAAGGGAAGTAGTAAGAATTAGCACTGTTCCAAAAGTAAGCCTGAAAATGATTCTGTTGTTTTATGATTTCAGTCTGACCCAACTGATTTATAGATGTGCACATTCAGATGGTTTCACTATGACTAGGATATAATTTAGTACAAAAATATGTGTAGATGGAATGCAAAATGCCTACTGGCTCCATTAGAATTCATCGTTTGTGTAATTCAGCTTCCTGCTGTGACTCTGAAATTACAGCTACAATTCATAATTAATTGTCTTTGAGACTAATATAGTGTTATTTACAGGCCTGGACCTAATCTCCTTCCTCTTACTCCTCAAAATAATAATTCTCTCTTTTTTCAGATTATTAAAGATTTGTGTATCTAAGCCTATTCACATGAGTACCCAGGCCAAATTTTGAAAAGTACAATTGCCCCTCTGTTCTTTTCCAATTGAAGAAAAGTTGTGTAATTGTCCTAATTCGGCCTGAGTTTGGAAGACTCGCAGAGAAATGGCACTCAGCAGTCTCTATCGTGTTCCCTTGGGAGTGGCAGTTTTAAAGATGAAGCCCACATCAGAGGTAGAAGGAACTGAAATGGTAGTTGTTCATTTGCTGTATCGATGGCAGCAGCAGGGTAGAAAGCTACCTTTAGCCTTTGCCTCTGGCTGGGTCAGTTGAGGCAGTACCCTACATCAGAATAAGACCTGGAGTTTTGTTTATAATAATAATAAGAGAGTAAACTTCATTAGTCCATTATGCAAAATTGAAAGCAGATTCCATTGGTTTGGGTCCAAATATCATCCTATGGTTCATATGTTAAATCTAATACTACTACTACTAGTACCTATACTAGTAAACATAGGAATTTAAAAATAAATGAAAAAATATTTCAGCACTTCTGCTTATGGAAGATTTTAGTACACGCTTTACAATATCTGCCATTTGCTTTCCTTCTTACCATTTCATTGCAGCAGAACCCACAAGACAACCGACAACCAAACGGAGAAAAAGGAAAAACTCTACCAGCAGCACTTCCAACAGCAGTGCTGGGAACAATGCAAATAGTACCAGCAGCAAGAAAAAGTCAGCTGCTGCAAACCTGAGTCTATCAAGTCAGGTACCTGTAAGTCTCACTTTCCTTTTAGGCCTGAATCGCTTACGGTGCTTTAATTCTTTCCTTACATTGTAAAGAAGGTGCATTCTTGAGCCTAAACTATCACAAGCAAAAGGCGATCTTGCACAGTGTGCTGTGGAAGCTGGGGAATTAGTGGAGAGATGTGAAGAAGCCATTCTGCAGTGCAGCTTTAATGAATGACCCTCAAGCAGGGGTATCCTGAGGACCAGATGTTATTTTTTTAAGGTCTGGGCCAACTCCCCTTCTTGTCAGTGGGAGTCCTTCCACTGGCAGTGGGACTCAGATTGGGCCTCGTGTTTTTAGATATAGCATGAGTCTTGCAGACTTCCATCTGCCCGGTGCTAAGTGAGGATGAGTCCCTGTGGAATAGGACAGCTGTCCCTGAGCAGACGGCTGGTCTCTCTGCGTTAGTACCTTACCTCTAGTCGGTGTCGGGTTCAGATGCTTCAGTGGGACAGGTTACGAATTAATTTACCTGCAGAGGTTATCTCTTTTTCCAACCACTCCACTTGCAGAGCATAGATCCCCTGGAATAGGGGTCTCAGCTTATCCACCCTGCTAGCTGTAACTGGTGACATCCTAATTATATAGGGAAACACCAAGTCATTTCCAGAACTGTACTAGCACTTTAATAATCACATTTATTGCCTTATTCACAATATAGGGGTAATCAGACCCCAAATTGTGACAAAGTGTGCCTTAGTCAATAAGGAGATAGCTTATGCATTTTAAAGCTGGGGAAATTAATTTGATATTATAGGAACTGTAAAGTGGTATCTTGGGAATAACATGCAGGGATTTTTATTGGATTTCTGATCAGCAGATAGGAAAGGGCTAGGTCTCTTCTGAAGCCTGACAAATAATATAGGCCTTTTGTTAGCACAAAGCAGGCACTTCCTAGGAAGCTTGAATACCCAGATAAAAAAGAGGAGTAGACTAACACCAGTGAAATGAAATGAAGATTTTTGTTTAGCAACTGATTCAGCAATCCACTAGCTTACAGAAGCTTTGGGCTTCAGTACATTAAACTCATATTTTCTCCTTGTCATATTAAAATTTTCACGTGGCTCGCATCCCCGGAGTCAGGTTCTTTCACTAACATAGGCATATGGGTTTTTCTGGCAGCC